ATTCGAAGACACGAAGACATGCGCACGGTTCATTTGAAGTAGGAAGATGAAGAGAGAAGAAGAAAAAAAGAAGTGTCAATTATAGGTAGTTGACACAAGGGTCTTGTAACTCAAGTGGTTAAGAGAATTTACCCCTGCACCCAAGGTCCTATGTTTAATTCCCCCCTGCTCTATTATCGCTCGCATGTGTTTATAAAAATATTATAGGAGGTTAATATTAGGTCTAATATTAAATGTGATAATTATTTAAAAGGTCAAATGTATTAACTGTATGCCTGATATGTCAACGGGGTCTGTCCAGAAGAGCCCAACACGATGATAACTTGTAATTTGTGTGTGAAAAAATCCCCCTCCCTCTTCTTAACATTTCATATGTAAGTTCCAGATGCTCAGAAGTTGAGGGACTAAAATCTCATATGAGTACAAGTTCAGGACCATATCTCCTAAAAAGCCTTTTCTGTATATATATTTTTTGTTAAATTTGTCATCATGATCGAGTTCAAAGATCCCAAAAGAAAAATATCTGGACTTACAGGACGTGACCTATAAAGGGAAGAGTGCCACAGTTTTAGATATTTTTTATTTGACAACAATTTTTCTTCATGGAATGATTTTGACAGTGGCTAGAGAGCAGTTTTCAAAGAGTTATGGATTGATGGAATTGAGTTTTGGCTGAGAATAATTCAATTTTTTTATTCCTTTGTCGCTGGACAGGTGGGTAGCGATGGAGACGAGACGGGGCATGATCGACAAAAAGTTTGAAGATAAGAGAAACGTGGAAGCTTCACGTAGGCAGTTTGGTCTAACTGCATAATTAAACTCCAGATTTAATGTGAACCGGTCTAGCTGAGTGAAAAAGGATTTGAATTTGCAGTTCAGTGATTTCAGATTCAAACCACCGTAACAAAGAAAAAGCCCGACTTGCTTTCTCACACATACAAAGAAAACCAACATCACTTAAAAACTCAGGAAATACAAAGAAAACCAACATCACTTAAAACTCAGGGAAGACAAATCCAACATTAATTTTGTAGTGACTAGACAAGTTGCAAATTATATGCTAAACGTCGTGCTTGATTCCTATCTGGTGCAAAGTTGCATCAACTCCTCCACCACCCCATTTATCTCTTCATCCTCTTTCTTTTTCATGTTGTCTCTTAATTCCAATGCCTTTTTTCTCACACCCTCTCCAATTTTATCCACCACCACATCTCTAATCACCTTTGCTACCTCTTCACTTTGGAAACTGCCTTCAGCTGTTCTTTTAACCTCCACTCCAACACCCACCTCCTCCACTAGTCTAGCGTTGATTGGCTGGTCATAAAGCATAGGCAAGGCTATAATTGGAACACCAAACTTGATGCTCTCCAACACTGAGCTCCATCCACAATGACTCACAAACCCACCGACACTATAATGCTCCAATATTTTTGACTGTGGGGCCCAGCCCTCCACTATCATTCCCTTCTCTCCCACCCTCTCTGAAAACCCTTCTGGTAACACCTCTTCAACCCTAGTACCTTTCTCTTCCTTAGGAAATCTTATAACCCAAATAAAGCTCACTTTGCTAAGCTCTAAACCATGAGCTATGTCTTCTATTTCCTCCTTGGACAAAAAGTACTCACTGCCAAAGGAAACATACACAACTGAAGACCTCTCTCTTTTGTTCAGCCATTTCATGATCCATGTTTCCTCATCAAGTGTTTGATCCATTGGGTCTTGAACAAGAGGACCAACCGGAACAATCTTCTTCTTCACTAAACCAGAGAGATAATCAACATATTTTGCTTCAATCTCTCTAGATGTCTTTACCAAAATCATCTTACAAGATCGAGCACAGCATTGCTGTATGCGGTCTCCATCCTTGATGCCATTTGATGAAAACTCACACTGATTGTGGAACTTTCGAATATCGTAATCCCGAAGATGCAAAGGAAATTTGGCAGTAGGATTGTTGAAATCGTGAGTACAAACTGAACTCAAGAGCGCAGCGTTCATGATGCTGAACTCTATGGCTGGAATATTTTGCAACAAAGCAAGAGAGGGTGCCCATGGTTGAAGAAAATCGTAAATGAGCAAATCCGGCTTTAGGGTTTTGAGGATGTTGGAGAAGTTGGGGCTGGCCATGTCAAAGGCCTTTTTGAGAGTGGCCATGAGATGGGGAGGGAGGCCATTGGTGGTGTGGTAGTGAGGTGGCAAGTCATCATGTGGAAGATGTAGTTCCACAAATTCAATGCAATGAGAGTATTCTTCAGAGAGTTTTGGTTTGATGGAGCTGAGATTTACAGGTGTGGAACAAATAAATATGTAAAAATTATTGTTCTTATTGGCGAGCTTCTTGGCTAGCTCTAGGAAGGGAGATATGTGGCCGTGAGCTAGCCATGGAAGCATAAGAACTCTGACCATGGTTGGATTTTGAGAAGAATCCTTTTTTTTTTTTTTCTGACTCTTTTTCTTGAGGCATTGGTTGGCCTATGGCCTCCTCATATATATAGTTTGTTTTCTTGAGAAGGATGAGTCATGAGCCACAAAAGTGTTGTGTCAGTGCATAATTAATTCTAATTTCCAGATTTAGATGGGATATACAGTTCATATCATTACAGAAGTTCGTAGAAAAACGTACGAAAGTTCCAGATTGAATGGGACGTACTTGGGATGAATTCGTAATTATTGGCTCTTCCAGGGATAGACTCAGGCAATTCTTTTGACTGATTATCTTGAGGAACTGCGTGACTATTGGCTAATAGTTTGTTTTAATTTTTTTGGAGATATTTGTAGTGATGGTATGCTTTGATATACACATCATTCATATCATAATAGAAGTTAGCAGAAAAAAGTGCGAAAGTTCCAGATTGAATGGGGACGTATTTGGGATGAATTCGTTCGAAATGTTCCAGATTATTGGCTCTTCTAGGATGGACTTAGAATTTCAAATTTGATTGGGCTAAATTTACTTTACATATATAAACATACTAAGTATATAGAAAACTCGACAGTACGATGTAATTTCATTGATAACAAAAAATAATAATACACCTAATTAAGGGGGGCATAATAAACCTTACTCCTAAGAAACAGTCACAAACAATTTCTTCTACTTTTCTTTCTTTTTTTCCACGGGCTGTGCATTCTCTTTTTTCTCTCCGTTTTTTTCCCTATGTGTAGAAATGTGCAGCTTCCATCTTCTCCGTTTTTTCTCCACATGCAGTGCAAAGGATTCCTTGGGAGGGTAGATTATTCAATTGGTTGGGCTATATTATTAATTTTTGTTTTTTTTGGGGCTGTGATAAGTGTATTATTTCCTATATTTTTACACCTTTTATATGTAGGTTTTGTGGGGAAAGTTAATTAAAAAGAGTATTATTACTTTACTTTCCTTATTTTCAGCTATTCTGCGCTCTTGGAAGGATTTCAACTGAAAATCAACTTTTCGAATGCATTTTAGTGCAAGACCAATTGTAGAAGAAAGCTAAGACATTGAAGATCATTGTATCAAAGTTTCATAATTTTCTACCAAGCCAAATGCTCCAGACCTGCAAGTCAAGACAGCCTAAGTTGAAATCCCGTCAGAACTGCACTGCTGTGGAAGAGTGAAGATTTGAATATCTTTCCGATTTTTCCTAGTGGTGTGTAATATATGCTTGGAAAGCTTAGAGATAAAGCTACGTTTCTCATATTTTTCCAGAATTTTCTAGGAAGTGGAACGACCCCAAAACGTGCGTGCAAGTTGGCTGACGTGTTTCCAAGTCAAATAAGGATTCTTTCCTAGTTTGTTTCCTTAATTGTTTGAGATTTTGTTTTGCTTTAGGAGAGTTTTTCTAGACCTTTTTGAAGTAGGGTTTAGTTGTTTTATACTATATAAGGTCACCCTAGGATCTCTTCATGGTATCACCTTTTTCCACCATCATCTACCATATTTTTCCACCAACTTTCATACACCCAGAGAAATATCAGAGGAAGCCAAGAATTTGCTGCTGCATTATTTGAGGAGCTTTTGAAGGTGTTCCTGTGAAGATTCTGAAGATCAAGTCCATCGGCCAAATTGGTTTTATGACAATAATTCTCTTGTTTATATTTTCTTCTGTCATGAACTAATTTCCCTTGCTAGGGCTACGATGTAGCCTAACCATGAATACTCAATTTTTATAGTTATATTAATTCCTTATTATTATCCCATGTTGAGTATTTGTTACTGTTCTTAATGATTTAAATATCTAGCTAATATTTAATTGATGATCCAAGCGGAGACCGAGAGGAGATGTTTGGTGTTTGCTTCTTGTAACAAATACCATGACTTGAATGAGTGCCCGAGAGGGACTAACATGACTCATGCAGTTTTCTTGTAGGTTCTCATAGAACTTAATGGGTTCTTAGTTTTCTAAATCCGTTGCTCGAGAGAGAATGGGTTGTTAATTGAGAATACTTTTGGTTGAGCCCGAGAGGGGATATCGAATGAATTAGGAGAAACCAACTGTCAACAGGGATAGTAATTAGGGTTAATTGGCTATAAGAATTAAGTAGAATTGGTTATGGTGAAATCGGATGCTCTAGTGTCTCATCATCTTAATTTTCTATCGTTAATTAAATTGTTATTTTTCATAATTATTTTAGTTTTCTTGAATCAATCAATCTTCTTAATTAACTGTTCAAATAAACTTCTAAATTAATCATAATTGGTAGTTAATAGGAAATTACAGTCTTCGTGGGAACGACACTCTACTTATTTCTATATTACTTGTACGAATTGTGCGCTTGCAATAATTTCACAACAAGTTTTTGGCGCCGCTGCCGGGGACTGTTTTATTTTCTATTAATATCAATATATTTTAATTCTGAGTTTAATTTGAATTTCTTCTTTTTGTTTCAGGTACTTTGATCCGTGTATGCACCGTTCTCGTACCCTAGAACTCATACCACTTGACCCAGAAATCGAACGTACGTTTCATAAGCGGAACAAAGGAAACAAAAAGCACACTTTGGTGGAACCACCATCCACACCTATGGCGGAGGAAGCAGAAAGAGCCGTGGGGGAATTTGGCCCCCCAGTGGCAACTCCCTCAGCGATCCGACGTCCTGCTATTGCAGCCAACAATTTTGAGATCAAACCAGCCATGATCACCATGCTGCAGAATTCATCTGTATTTTGTGGTCTACCGAATGAAGATCCCAACATCCATCTTGCGATATTTTTGGAGATTTGTGATACGTCCAAGTTCAATGGAGTAACTGACGATGCGATTCGTTTAAGGCTTTTCCCCTTCTCCTTGAAAGATAAAGCCAAGCTTTGGTTACTGTCACAGCCACAAGACTCCATCCGTACTTGGGATGATTTATCTAAGAAATTCCTTGCTAAATTTTTCCCACCAGCCAAAACTGCAAAATTCCGACAAGATATCATGTCATTCGCTCAATATGATAAGGAACCTCTATATGAAGCCTGGGAACGATTCAAAGACTTATTGCGCAAGTGTCCTCACCATGAGCTACCAACCTGGATTCAAGTTCAGACCTTCTACAATGGGTTGAGTCAAACAAGCAGGACACTAGTTGATGCAGCTGCTGGAGGGGCTTTAATGGCAAAAACGGCTACCGAAGCATTTGAATTATTGGAGACCATGGCATCCAACAACTACCAATGGCCAAGTGAGAGAATGAATCTGAAGCCAGCTGGGGTCTTGGAAGTCGATGCTATGGCTTTGCTAACAGCACAAATTTCTAACCTTACTAAAAAAGTTGATTCTTTAAGTGTTAATTCTATAAACACTAGTACTAATTTTGGTTGTGAACTTTGTGCAGGCCCTCATCCAAGTTCAGAGTGTACCACAGGGAACCCATTTGCGTCTGCTGAGCAAGTCAATCAGGTTGGAGAATTGAATCGACAAAGGAATAATCCTTATTCCAATACATACAACCCCGGTTGGCGAAACCATCCAAATTTTTCATGGAGCAATACTCAGAATGTGCAAAGACCACCACCTGGCTTTCCGGCTCAAGAGAAGAAAATAAATTTGGAAGATGCTCTTACTCAGTTGACTATGTCTACCACCCAATTCATGACTGAAACAAAAACTCAATTTCAGAATCAGCAAGCTTCTATTCAGAATTTGGAGGTGCAAGTTGGCCAATTAGCTAATGTCATAAGTGGAAGAAACCAAGGAGTATTTCCAAGCCAACCTGAAGTTAACCCGAAAAATCAAGAACAAGCAAAGGCAATCACTCTTCGCAAAGGGAAGCAAGTAAATACAGCGATCGACTTGGAAAAAGAAGCATTAGAGAAAGAAAAAGAAGCTAAGAAGTTTGCGGCAGAAATGGGGCATGCATTTTCACCACCAATCACCACCACAGAAAAATCCCAAGAAGAAGAAAATTCTATACCAATTCCTTCTCTTCAATTGAAGCCATATGTCCCACAAATCCCTTTTCCACAGAGGTTGAGAAAAAATAAAGTTGATGGGCAGTTTGCAAAATTCTTGGAGATGTTCAGAAAGTTACAGATCAACATTCCTTTTGCTGAAGCTTTGGAACAAATGCCAAGTTATGCAAAATTCATGAAAGACATTCTCTCCAAGAAGAGGAAATTTGGAGAGCACGAGAAAATCCAACTAACAGAAGAGTGCAGTGCCATCTTACAACGGAAGCTTCCACCAAAACAAAAAGATAGAGGGAGTTTTAAAATTCCATGCACTATTGGAAATAATTTCTTTGAAAGAGCTTTATGTGATTTGGGTTCTAGCATTAACTTACTACCTTTATCTGTTGCTAAAAAGATTGGTATTGGTGAAATTAAACCCACTACTGTTTCTTTGCAGATGGCGGACAGGTCAATCACATACCCAGATGGAATTATAGAAGATGTCCTAGTAAAGGTTGATACACTCATATTTCCGGCGGATTTTCTGGTTTTGGATATGGAAGAAGATTCTGACACGCAGCTAATTTTGGGCCGCCCATTCCTGATTACTTCACGCACTCTGATTGACGTAGAAGAAGGCTTACTAACTTTGAGAGTTGGGAATGAACAAGCGACATTCAAAGTTTTTGAAGCAATTAAATTTCCAAGAGAAGCGGAGGATTGTTTTCACATAGAATTAATAGATGAAATTGCTTCAGACACATTTAAAAAGGAGAATCCGAGCCATCCATTGGAATCTACATTGGTCCATGCTGCTACCTCCCAAGATGACAACCCCATGGTTGCTGAATATGCCTTATATTTGGATGCATCACAACCATACCATCCAAGGCAAAGGAATCAGTTCGAACCACTAGGAGCAGCACCTCCTAAGGCTGCACCTTCTGTAATTGCTGCACCTACACTCACTCTGAAGCCATTGCCAACACATTTGAGGTATGCTTATTTGGGAACTTCTGAAACTTTACCAGTTATTATTGCTGCAAATTTGAGTGAAACTGAAGAAGAAAAAGTATTACGGGTTTTGAGAAAACATAAAACTGCAATTGGGTGGACAATCGCTGACATCAAGGGTATTAGCCCTTCTATGTGTATGCACCGAATACTAATGGAAGAGGAGCATAAGCCATCTGTGGAGCATCAACGCCGATTGAACCCCAACATGAAAGAAGTGGTTCGTGCAGAGGTATTAAAATTGCTTGATGCAGGTATTATTTACCCTATATCTGATAGTAGTTGGGTAAGTCCTACACAGGTTGTGCCAAAGAAAGGAGGGATGACTGTTGTAAAAAATGAAAATAATGAGTTAGTCCCAACAAGAACTGTTACAGGATGGAGAGTCTGCATAGATTACAGGAAATTGAATTCTGCAACCAGAAAAGATCACTTCCCACTGCCTTTTATTGATCAGATGCTAGAAAGACTTGCTGGGCATGCCTATTACTGTTTCCTAGACGGATACTCAGGATATAATCAAATCCCTATCGCGCCTGAAGACCAAGAAAAAACGACCTTCACATGTCCATTTGGCACTTTTGCCTATCGTCGTATGCCTTTTGGGTTATGTAACGCTCCTGCCACTTTTCAGCGTTGCATGATAAGCATTTTCTCTGACATGGTGGAGCGATTTATTGAGGTATTTATGGATGACTTCTCTGTTTTCGGTTCATCTTTTGATTCTTGTTTGGATAATTTGGCATTGGTGTTGGCAAGATGTGAAGAAACCAATTTAGTTCTCAATTGGGAAAAATGCCATTTTATGGTACAAGAAGGAATTGTGTTGGGGCATAAAATTTCAGCAAGAGGTATTGAGGTTGACCGTGCAAAAATTGAGACCATAGAAAAGCTACCACCCCCTTCTACAGTGAAAGGAATTCGAAGCTTCTTGGGACATGCTGGGTTTTATCGTCGATTTATTAAGGATTTCTCAAAAATTACAAAGCCTCTTTGCAAGTTGTTATTGAAGGATTCTGAATTCAACTTCGATTCAGACTGTTTGGAGGCATTTAATTTATTGAAGAAAAAGCTCACCACTGCACCAGTCATTATGGCACCTGATTGGGAATTACCATTCGAGATTATGTGTGATGCCAGTGATTATGCTATTGGAGCTGTCTTGGGTCAAAGGAAGAATAAATTACTACATGTAATTCACTATGCAAGTCGTACATTGAATGATGCTCAACTGAACTATGCCACTACGGAAAAGGAATTGTTAGCAGTGGTATTTGCATTGGATAAATTTCGTTCTTACCTATTGGGTGCGAAGGTAATTGTGTATACGGATCATGCAGCTTTAAAATTTTTGCTCGCCAAGAAGGAAGCAAAACCAAGACTAATTCGATGGGTTTTATTACTTCAAGAGTTTGATATTGAAATTCGAGATAAAAAAGGGTCTGAGAATGTGGTGGCCGACCACCTCTCTCGGCTAGTCCGTGAGGATGAAGTTATAGAAGATGTTGGGCCTATCCTAGAGACATTCCCGGATGAGCAATTATTTTCCATCAACTCTGAGAAAGAATTCATCACTCCCTGGTATGCAGATTTTGTAAATTACCTAGCTTGTGGTATTCTTCCCCCTCATATGTCTTTTTATCAGAAAAAGAAATTCCTATCATTGATTAAACATTATTATTGGGATGATCCTTATTTGTGGAAGCACGGTCCTGACCAAATTATACGAAGATGTGTACCTGAGACAGAGATGGCTGACATATTATTGCATTGTCATACTTTGGCATGTGGAGGCCATTATGGTGCTTCCAAGACTACGGCCAAGGTTCTACAATCTGGATTTTTCTGGCCTACTTTGTTTAAAGATGCTCAAGACTTTGTTGCAAGGTGTGATCCTTGCCAACGTACAGGAAATATCTCTAGTCGAACCCAAATGCCCTTGAATAATATTTTGGAGGTGGAATTGTTTGATGTTTGGGGTATTGACTTCATGGGTCCGTTTCCGGCATCATATGGGAATTTGTATATTTTGGTTGCAGTGGATTATGTATCCAAATGGGTCGAAGCAACTGCCCTACCCACGAATGACGCCAAGGTTGTGGTCAGATTTCTACGAAAGAATATTTTTACAAGATTTGGGGTCCCTCGTGCAATTATTAGTGATGGAGGTACGCATTTTTGCAATCGTCAATTTAATTCCCTTCTTGCAAAATATGGCATCACCCATAAAGTGTCTACTCCCTACCATCCGCAAACTAGTGGGCAAGTTGAAGTTTCGAATAGGGAATTGAAGAAAATCTTGGAAAAGACGGTGAGTGCCTCTAGGAAAGATTGGTCATTAAAATTGGATGATGCACTATGGGCTTATAGAACGGCGTTCAAAGCGCCAATTGGGATGTCACCATATAGACTTGTTTTTGGGAAAGCATGCCACCTTCCGGTGGAATTGGAGCATAAAGCGTTTTGGGCTATTAAAACACTCAATTTTGACATGAGTTCAGCAGGGGAGAAGAGGAAGTTACAATTGAATGAGCTAGAGGAACTTCGAAATGAATCGTATGAGAATGCGAAAATTTACAAGGACCGTACAAAGAAGTGGCATGACAAGCACATCTTGAAGAAGGAATTTTATGTGGGTCAAAGCGTTCTCCTCTACAACTCACGGTTGAAACTTTTTCCTGGGAAACTTCGCTCTCGTTGGTCTGGGCCATTCACGGTGTTAACAGTGTATCCTTATGGGACGATTGAAATCAAGAACGATCGTGACGGTACAACTTTCAAAGTTAATGGCCATCGACTCAAACCTTATGTGACAGCCGCATTTCTTGAGGAGGAGAGCACCGTCCTACTCGATGATCCCAAGTAAACGCATCCAAAAGTCGGGCTATTGACTCTAAACTAAGCGCTTGTTGGAAGGCAACCCAACTAGGTACCTTCGTTCCTTATCTTTTTAATTTTTATTTGTGTGTTTCCCTCGTTCATTTATTTTACTATTCTTTGTCCTTGCTCTTATTTTCTATTTAAACATTGAGGACAATGTTTCATTTAGGTTTGAGGTGGGTAACATTCATTTTATTTTTTAATTTTTTCGTTTTTAGTCTTTTTTGAGTCATGCAAAGCATTGGTGTTTATGTTTCGATAATACTGTTTTAATCTGTGATATAATTGAAGATTTGGCCCGCGTTGCCTTCTTCAGTTTTTCGTGCTGAATCCAGCCATATAAGGCTCGTAATTTTCTGACTTTTCGTTTGGAAGTTATAGCTGTTTTTCTGAACAGGGGTCTGGAACTCCAGTATTTCTGCGATTCTGTACTGTGTTCTGTATTTAACGTCAGTTTTCATGCAGTTCTAGTCTGTTTTCTGGTATTTGGTCTAAAGAAAAGTTATGCGTTTCTTTGTCTATTTTCTGAGCATATAAGGCTTGTCAAAATCCATGCAGTACTTTAAGAGATAATTGTTGAAAACTGATCTGAGGTCAAAATTGAAAAGAAGCAGTTTTTGTGAAACATAAATTCTAGTTAAAGTTGTCACTTTTCCTTGCTAATAGAGATGTATATGCCATGTTTTGATCATGAATGCTTTACTAACGTGTTGCCATGAAGGGTGATTGCATTATAATCTTTGCACTTCACAATACCATACTCGTAATGTTTTGGTGGACAAGGTTGCTATGCTCGAATGACTATGGAATAGTAGTGGAGACTACCTTTGTGAGATAATTGAGCCAAAAGCCATTTTCTTTGAGAGGGGTTTCATTGTTTCTACTCTTAAACACTCTTCGATTTTATTCTTAATTAGATTGCTCTCATTAGGTTTGTATTGGATACTAAAGAATTTTCTTATTTTTGTAGGTATGTCGCTTCCAAGTTGGATGGACCATAAGAGATGATGTTAGGCTATGCATGTTTTCACCCTCTAAAAGACTTTTCATCCTACCCCTTTGTGTGCGTCATTAACCCCTTTGCAACCAAACACTTAGCCCTTCCTTCATCACTCCTACTATCTTTTAACCTATATAACCCGTTTCTAAGCCATACCTTATAGCTTAGGATGTGCCAAAGTGATGAAAATAAGAAGGTTGGGCTCTACACCAAAGAATTGGCGTGTACCGAGGTGTTTGTGTAAAAATTGCAAGAAAAAAAAGAAATATAAGAAAAGAAAA